TTACCACTGGCTATCGTGCAGGTCACGGGTTCAACTCCAGGGAACTGTGCAGATACTGTACACAGGTAAGCTGAGGTCAAGGGATCGACCCCTGGGATCTGCATCGGCTACTGCCAAAGGTGAAAACTGTTTCAAATATGACACCAATGGGGAATCATAGCACTGTAAAACAATGTCAATGAGAGCTTGCTCTCGCCACCACCAACATATGTATCCAGTCCCTATCTCCCTACTTGGCGCTCGGCGATCAGCCTACTCCCTACACAGCTACTACTAGCCTACTCATTGACAATGCAACTGTTGACGTCAGCAGCCTCCGAAGTACTTGAAGATGTCACCCATGCAGACCATTGCCAATACCAGGTATGTGCCCTCACGTCATCATCATCATCATCATCCTTGTCTCTCTCCCTTGTCTCTCTCCCACGTCTTCCCTTCTGTACACCCAAAGACCACCCCTGCGCCTCACTGTACATCCAAGCCCGCCAGCTATTGAGGCTGGGGTATGGCGCTGCCCTCAGCAGCGCCCTCCTCCTTGCACGACCGCACGTGCTTGCACCTCGCTTCTTAGCGCTAGCAGCAGCCCACGAGCTTCAGATCCAGCAGCGCTGCCGCCAGCATGCGAGTGCCCGAATGCCTGGCCAGGCAGCGAGCCCTTTCCTATATGGAAAAAGCCTGCCTCATTCGGCAGCCTGGCTGGACTGGCCTGGGCCCAAAAGCTTCCGGTAGGCCCCAGGATGCTGCGCCTGTCTTGCAGCTACTGGGCCTCATTCGGTTGGGCCTCCCAACTGTCTGTGTATGAGGCTGCCATTCTCGTCCAGGGCCTGCATCATTTCGGAAAGGCCTGGAAAGCCGTCGAAGGTCTCGCTGCTCGGCCTGTATTTTCCTCAACCAACTGACGCGACGAAACAGCCTGGATCCCAAATACGAAATTGACAGCCGAGGGCCTCTCGAATTTGTTAGGCCCACCTTCACTTAGGGCGGGCATATTTGCAGCAGGGGCCCCTTAGGCCTGCCGAGGACCCAAATCCTCGCACGAGGGTTAAGAGAAGATTAATGTGTTTTCTGCGAAGGAACTCGAAAATTGGGCCAGCAGGAATGCAATAAGCCGTTCATTATGCCTCGTTGAATGGCTACGGGGCCCAAAGGCCGCGACCCCGGCTTCTGGCCGAGAAGTCGAAGGGGCAGAAGGCCCCTTCGAAATAGCCCCAGGGCCTGAGCACCCGACAGTTGACTTCGGTCAACTGCCTAAGGTCCTACAGTCAAACTCAAGACGGACCCAGCCCAGGCCGCCGGTCAGACACACTCAATTGTTTGTATGCAGGTACCAAGACAGCATCAGGACCAAGTGGAAGTCTGCAATTGTATACAATCCAGGCCCTCGGCTGTGAGCCAATCTAAGCCACCGTGGGTGGGAGACCTGAGGCCAGTCTGCCTCGTCAAACACTACATAAGCTTGGTCTCCAGGGAGTCAACATCCAGTCTTGCTATGGTGCCTTGATGCCGGCCCGACACTGGCTGGACGGCTAAGCACTGGCACTGTGGATGACGACGCGGGACTGAGGCAGCACGCTGGCGCCTTCTCTGCTGAGCGCCGGCCTATGCTGATGTGGCGCATGCCATGTCTTCATTGCTGATGTGGCACATGCCACCTGTCTTCATCGCTGATGTGGCATGGCCACACTATTTACACTGGATTCTTGGTCGCGAAAAGGAGGGAGATCGGGATCTGTGGATGATTGAGGAGGATCGACATACTTACCTGAGGTTGATGTCGATACTGTGCGCTGTTGATTGTCTCCATTGTCTTCACGAGAGAACAGTGCCACGTGGCACTTATATGTGACCAGGACTTGTCAGACTCGTTACATGGAGGCGAGGGGAAGCCCAGAGGAGGAGTGGGAAATGTTGGGCTATCTCCTTGATGGTCAGTGATGTTACTATCTCTTCCACCCTTTAAACTGTCTATTCCCCCTCCACTCTCTTCGTCTACAGGTAAGGAGACATTGTATCAGAGTTCACATTCATGATTATTGGACATTGTTCAGATCTGAGTCATCTTGTATTCCGACGTCTGGCGAATATCTTCCAGTCTGGTTTCATTAGAGAGCTCTTTCCTTTATGGAAAGTGCTCACCCAGTTTGCTGTCTGGCTGGGCCTCATGTGTTTCCAGTAGCTTCTGTGCCCAGGCCCATTCAGACAGTGGCCTGGGACCGAATTGGTTAGGCCTGCCCAACCACCCAGGAGTAAACGTGAAGTTCTCCCTGCTTCGCCTGTGCTGCTGGAAGAGCTTAGAAGGCTCATGAATTATTTCTGATTCTCACGAGTACGGAGGATGTAACCAACTGGCGCATGGCAACTGTCTGGCGCCCACCAAACTTTGCAAAAATTGACAAACTCAGGCCATGTCAAAATTCAGGGGCCCGCCTTCACTTAGGGCGGGCTCATGCTTGCTAAAAGGGCCCTACAGGGGCATGCCGAGGAGCTAACTCGTAACAAGGCCTCATCAAAGATCCATCCCACATGGGGGTTCCAACGGGCTCTGCTTCAGACCCTCAGCCTGGTCTCATTACCCTGTAAACAGGAATTGACACATATTTGCAGGCTCGCCTTCACTTAAAGCGGGCATGGCACTTTCAGACACTGCCGAGGGGACTAAATCCTCGCAGTAGGGTAAGTTCCACTGTATCAGGGCAAGAATGGTGACATACCAAATCACAAGAATCTGGCCGGAAATTTCAGCGGGAAAGAAAAACTGGTGCAAACCAACTGCATAATATTTCAATCAGAGTCGGTATGAAAGTTCAAGAAAACCTCTGAAAAGGGAAGAGATTTTACTTCCTTTCAAAAGGGAAGAAATCTTACCTTGTTGTTTTTACAGGTTCAGGAAAGGAAGAAAAACACAACAGCAAAACTACTGACCTGCAGCTCTCCTCGAGCAAGGGCCGGTTTCAAGATATTTGCTGCATCAATTGCACCTTCAGCAGCTCCCGCACCAATCAACGTGTGGACTTCATCAATGACGAGAATGATGTCATCTGACTGCTTGATTTCCTCCATCAGCTTCTTCAATCGCTCCTCAAACTCTCCGCGGTACTTTGTACCAGCTACCAGAAGGCCCATGTCCAACGTAACTACCTGCATTTTTTTCCCATCATTGTTCCAATTCAACATTTATCTTCATCATTATTCCAATTTCCCTACTTGTGACTCCTATTAAAAATGAACATCTCAAAAGCACCTTTTCACACCCACTCATACCTCAATCAATATCCCCACAGGAAAACCAGCCAGTCCAATCAGAAAATCTCTCTCTCTCTCTCTCTCTCTCTCTCTCTCTCTCTCTCTCTCTCTCTCTCTCTCTCTCTCTCTCTGTGTGTGTGTGTGTGTGTGTGTGTGTGTGTGCGTGTGTGTGTGTGTGGGTGGGTGTGGGTGTGGGTGTGTGTGTGCATGCGTGCGTCTGCGTGTGCGTGTGTGTGTGCATCTATCGCTAGTATTCATCCCTTTCATCCCTCTTCTACACACAAAATCTCTCTTCAGCCCTTGGAACTGTCAAACTCTCTCACCCACAGACATTCAGCACCAAGCTCTCATAGCACACAGAGTTTATCTAGCACGCACAAGCACACACTCTCGTGAGAAATAGGCTGCCTTACTCACATGGAGATCCCAAATAATCCCTCTTCAGAATGTCTGAAGTCCCATGTCGAGKCTGGATCCAATGTCACCAAGCTCTCTCTCTCTCTCTCTCTCTCTCTCTCTCTCTCTCTCTCTCTCTCGTAGTCTGCTGATGCAGTGAAGTCAGATAGTGAGAGGGTGAGAAGAAGATGGTGGACTGAGAAGAGGAAGAAGAAGAACTCTCTACTAACCTGTGAAGTTGGCACTGTGCTGCAGGTACCTCGAAGACGAAGCTGGAGCAACGGCGCTGCAGGTAAGTATCCCTGGCCTCCGCCCAATCTCTCTCTCTAGTGCTACTCTAGCTATGCCGCTCAGCGCTGAAGACTACTGCTAACGCTACAACTAATCCTGCAGCGCGCCTCCAGAGTGCTGCTGCCGAATCCTGAAGACTACTGACTGCCTCCTGCCTTCACGTGAAGTGCCAGGGAAGTACCTAGGAGCTACCTCCCAACTACCTGCAACCTGCAGGGCGGGCCAGTCTTATATAGTGCTGGCCCGTCCAGGAGGCTGCTCTTGCCAATGCAAAAACGTGCCAGACCCTGGAGTTGAAGCTCAAACAAAGGTTGTCTTGACAATAGGCCAAAAATGGCCTGAGCTAAAACCCTGGTCTGGTGTGTTATGAACTTGGTTGTCTGACGAATTTTTATCGCCACTCACACACAGACAATCTCACACATGCCCATACATGCATAAGAGAAGGGGAGAGAGGAGACAGAGTCCAAACTGCACACAGGTGAAAATAAGCAGCGGAAGACAATCATGCACAGATGGGGAGAGAACACACAGTGTTTCTCACTCTCTGACACAATTCCCAACAACCAATCACAGGAAAGAACCTGCGAAGATCACAATTGAACTGACACTGATGCTGAGCCACTCAACCAATTATCGTAACAGAGTTTGTTCCAGTATCTCGCCACTCTCAGAACTCACACCCCACTCTCTATCCTACACCCAGTTAGTAGCGCCACATCAGAATGGCCTCCTAGAGCCCAGYGCCAACCACCCTGATGAAGAACAGGTCCTGCGATGAAGTCTTCAGTGCCGATGGACAACTCTGACGAAGGAACAGGCAGCTATGGCTACCACCAC